AATTGTATAAGTTCAAATCTTTTCTCTTGACATTGATTGAGATTGTATTCACTGGGTAATTTTAATGCAAGGTCTTCTATTATGAACGTACATGAAGGACTACTGCGGGAGTGAATACAATGGCAGCACATGCTAATGTGTGTATGTTACTTTGAGAATCCCTTTTGTATTAACACAACTTATTTTCCAACAATACATTGGAAGTATCAATTATATATTTCATTAACGTGTACTGCTTTGTAGCTAAAACATTTTTAGGGGTTTGTAGAGATACTTTGAGTGTAATTTATACATTGATTTTTATATTGATAGCTCTTGTCCCATCTCGAAATAAAATATAAATTTATCTATAAGTAGAAATCCATAGGCATTACACATGCCGGACGGTGTTTGACAACTTCTAAAGATATTTATTTATTTATCAGTGTTCTTTACATATAATTAGGGCCTTGTGGCTGAAATATTGTATCTTATTGTTTTTGTTCTGATCAAGAATAAAATTATTTTCGTTTGTACCCTAGATTGTGATGCCAATGCAATTCTTCTTATAACAGTTTTTCGGTGGTTTGCGGACCCCCCACCATGCTTGTGATAAGCACTTCACTTATATAATACATTAATCTAGCTCATTTTACAATGAAAATCTATCTAAAATGTTCATATCCATAAGATCTTTTCATTTCCAAAGCTATATAACTTTTAGGTTCTCAAAAGACCATTTTTTTTTTTTTTTATTTATGATGGTTAGCATTAAAGAAAATATAATGTATGTAATCCTATTACTGAATGATATTAAACTAAATACTTTGTGCAATATTTCATATTCACTCAGAAACATATTGAGCAATAACACAAGTCCAAAGCAATTTCTCACTACTGGAAATTTATAATAAACTTTAAAATTGAGTTATAATTAGGCAGAAAATTAGAAATAAACCCACTGGTTTAATTATTTTAATATTTCACCTTACGCTTTCCTGGGTTAATTACTGCAATTCCCAAATTCAAACAATCATAAAAAACAGCTTGAATTTTTCCGAAAAACCTTAGTTTCTTTCATATTTTTGTCCTTTCCTATACAAATATTTGACAAGAAATATATAGCTGTGTGAGTAGAATTCTCTGTCTGTCTTTTAAATGAAGGACAATCCAGGCCAGCTTGATTTATTGAGCATTATATGCATACATTGCTTTGAGCTTTCTATTTACCATACCGGTTAAATCACAAGCTACTTGTGTTTTAGGAGCATCCATTGTATGACTTAGTATGACAGGATGTTGAAATGTATTTATTGTACACAAAGGGACAGATTTACACTATGTTACTAAAACTAGCACTATCTTTTTCAAACCATTGAATATTTATTTTAATTTTATTTGCAATACTAAGTATACTGAGTGTTTTCTGGTTAAATTCATGATTAACAAGTTGCTACCTCTGCAAGCAGTTCTTTCACACCTTTCTGTTCCACGTGCTAACATATTTTTAGGGCATTCAGGGTGTGTTGAAGTCTACATTTGGAACCCATATATCATGCACCACTTTTAAATAATAATATACGTACACAAACAATATTGAGAGACCATAACTTTTAAAGATTTGAATAACTTCAGCACTAGAAGAGGTAAAATAGGTACCTCAGGTTCTCTCTATTAGTAATGCACGAGAGACAAAAATGGTTGGCTTTCAAAATTTCCACAGGGACCTCATTCAGTTTGAAACCTTTGTACAGAGGATAGCCACTTGCAGAGGGGATTATCTACCCTTGATCAAATGTTGCTCTTTCTTTAATTCTTTGCTTTAGTTCTCTCTTTACTCCCATCTCCAAACTCACCATCATGTTTCTCCAGTACCTTCTCTTCTCTGACTCCAGTTTTCCTCCCTTTGGAAGCCTCTCTAGATGATGGTGTTTACGGCAATACACCAGATGGAATGGTTATATATTGAGTAGAGGAGACTGCTAAAATACACCAATGTGTAACTATTTTTTGCACTGAAAATAGATGGTCTACCCCAACATTTCTGCTTCACCATACAGTGGATGACTATAATATGCCCTCTCTCTTTTCTTTCAAATGAAGACCATAGAACAGGCCTTGGGAATGTAATCTTGAATAAATATTGCAGGTTGTTGTCGATTTCCAAATATCTTACGGTGCATTACTATGCATGATGTGGATCATATAAAATCAAAAGGTGAGAGCACTCAACACATCTAAAAATTACCACAAATGATGTTTTAGTAGAATCTAGAAGTATAATACGAAGGGATAGACCATAGGATAATACACTACAAAACAATGATAAGTAAAAGCACTTTACTGTTCCAAGTCACATGCTTCTGATCCACTTAAAAAAAGCTGGCTCAGACTAGATGCTTTAAAGGAGGATATGGTGGAATTTTTTGATGTGTGAGTGCTCTCACCTTTTTATTTTATATATAACAGTGTTTTTGTGTGTTTTGGTGATTGTAGCACAGGTAATTGTAGCACTACTTTTTATCCAATTTCTTACTATTTTACTTTCTATTTAATATGATGCAGATCATATTATAGATGTCTTTTCTCATTTTGTATTTTTCTTTCCTCTGTTTTTTTGTGGTGTACCTATGTCTGCTTTATAATCTTGTCTATGTCTGACTTGCCTCTTACATAAACACAGCCTTGCATAGATATATCCACAAATGGATATATTGCGAAGACAGAGAAATCAATTTGAAGAATTATATAAAGCATTGAAAAGCAAATAGCAGCTTTCATAATGTATGTTTTCAGGCAGGATTCCTTACCCAAAATTACATCTTTATGTTTTAGATTATGGGTTTAAGCATTTTTATTTGTTTATTCTAATTATATGGATCCTAAAATCACTTTTAACATTGCATTCTCTTTTCATAGGTTTTCATGTAAAAAGAGCATGCACTGTTCCATGATGGCATGTCATTAAAAATTACTGCTCACGTTGCACTTCCTCTTGTCCTAGTGTCTTTGCATCTATTGGACTTACGGAACTTTTCCATTTAATATTATTAGTTTACAAATTGTAAAATATATGCTGTACTGTTAATTTAAAATATATTTACTTGTACAAGATTATTAGAAATATAAATATTCAAAATATAAACTATTTAAGTTAACATTAACAAGATATTCAAAATTAGAATCCCATTGAACTTCATACGATCTGGTATGGATTGCATGTACTGCTGATCTGTAAAATTTTCATTACTTCACCTTGAACATATGCCTCAAAAATGACCTTTAACACCCTTATTCAGCTGGCTTGTTTTCTGTGTTCTCAGATGTACAGTTGATTGCATGTAAAGTGGATAGGCCCTTGAGAATAGTGCTTCTAGCAAGCATACTTTCTAATCTATTGATAGCATACTGTACTGATCTGTGCATATCCAGCTAATCAATGTTTGGGTCAGCTTAAAACGTATTTCTTGATAAACAACTAAAATTCCAGCATTCTATCAACTGACTTTATAAACTTTAATTTTTTTACCGACCTTTGATTAATACGTATATACAGCTTTAAAGTAAATGTGCATTTGTTATAACTGTATTTTAAATACCCAAAACAAATGTTATGTATATTTTAGATTATTAAATCATATTGTTTTTAATATATTTAGTTTGCTGTGATGTGACAGATGCCTTCTAAAAATACACAGACGAGGCATATTTTGAGAATCAGTTCAAATTTCCCATGATTCCTATATCCTGCAAAGGCAAACTCTCCAATTAACTCCAAAATAGCTTCCTCAAATATACCCCAGGGATGAGTTCTCACTGAAGTTACCAAGGAACCTGTTTCCTTTTGATGACATGACTTTTATGAACAGATGGAATCATGGGAAAAGTGAATGGATTTGCATCCGAAAATTATTCAAAATGACAGAATGCCATACTTGATTCTGACAGCAGTGGTAATTTAATTTTCCGTACACAAAATAATAATAACAAGAATAACAATCTAGTGGTTTTTTTAGATAGTGGTTTTCTCCCCAAAGGGACTCAGAGTCCTTTATCGCACACTCTTGAATTGAACTGAATCAGCAGCTGATTAATAGATGAACATCTGTTTGCTATTTGACAAAACTATAAACATCAATAGTGTTTACCATGATGAATACATTCTAAAACAATAAAAATAGAATCAGGACATTTCTTTTAAGTGCACCTGTCATGCACATATTACTCAGTGATGCCTTATAAAAGATACATTGCACCCTATAAGGAGAACATCATATGAATATACTTATTATTCCCCTGAATCAGAGACTAATGAGAAAAATATATGAATATTAGATTTTTGATTTTGTTTATGTGATCAACTGCTGCAAGAGTTGTATTTATTTGTATGTTTGGTGATTATCACTTTTCAGAAAGTCAGTCCATCGACCAGAGATACTGGCCTTGGTGAAGAATTGAAATATGTAGTGTCACTGGTGACACAGAGGGTCAATCCGTCATATGTATTTATAGGGTAATCATATCCTATCCATCTGCCGCAAAGTTTAAATATTTAAATGGACTGTAGGATAATATTATGGGCTGTGTATATACTACTAATTACAGTATATACTCTAGTAGAAGTCTAGTTTTTCAGCACATTTTTTGTGCTTAAAAACCCCCACTCGACTTATACTCGAGTCACTGTCTGTATTATGGCAACTTAGAGAGCCGCGGCCGTCAGAGCCATGGCAACGATCCCGTGGCAACCAGACCGCGAGTCTTACAGTGGAGCTGACTGGAACGGAGGAGAAGGGAGCTGACAGGAGCTGCAGGAAAGGTAAGTAAATGCTTCCTGCCGGCCCCCCCACTTCACAGCCCATGCCACTAGACCACCAGGGATTAAGATAGCCCCCCTCCCTGACCAGTTAACAAGCAGGGAGGGGAGACAAAAAATAATAATAAAAAAAATAATAATATTAAAAAAAAAAAATTTAAATAATAAAAATGCCCTCCCCCCACCCAGTTCACACACACTACACAAATACACACTCTGCATTATATACACACTCTGCATTATATACACAGAGTGTGTGTATATAATGCAGAGTGTGTGTTTGTATGAGTATATAATGCAGAGTGTGTGTTTGTATGAGTGTGTGTGTATAATGCAGAGTGTGTGTTTGTATGAGTGTGTGTGTGTGTGTGTGTGTGTGTGTATAATGCAGAGTGTGTGTTTGTATAAGTGTGTATGTTTAATGCAGAGTGTGTGTTTGTATGAGTGTGTGTATATAATTATAAAAATCACAGAATTTCATAGCCCCAAGTTTTACCCTCGACTTATCCACGAGGCATCAGAGTTTGCAGGAATCTATGATCTGCAAACTTTCTTTGTCTTAGGGATGAGCATAACCACCTAGCAAAGCTAGTGAGTAGGGTATGCGGCAGCCTCCCGGAGTCAAATGCCAGAGCTGAAAAGGCTCGCGCTGTGCATCTGCACAGCAACAGCCTTTCAGCCAATCAGGTAATCAGGAGAGCCGTGCTGAGCGCGGGAATCCTGATTACCTCAGATTTTTTTAAAATTGGGAAACTGCGGATGGTTAGCACATCCCATGAAATACTAAGGATAAATATTTCCCACAGTGTACAGGAATATAATTAAACTTCTAAACACAAAATAAAATAATTCAAGATGCCAATAGTACAGGGGAACAAGAAAATATTTAATAAGTCATGGAGACATACAAGATAGACTTGAAACTTTGTATAAAACAGCTGAACTGAAAAACAAGGCAACAATGTGTGCCAAAGGAAAGTATCCAAAGACCACTGGAAACATTCAACGTAAGTTGCAACAAAATAAGTTCAATAAAAGAGACAAGAAATGTTGAAACAAGTCCCAGCAGACATAATCTTTATGCAGGGAGTCCATGAGAATATTAAACCGACGAGACTACTTGCATCCAATCCTTCTACTTAGGTGGATCCTTGGTTTGTTGGTCTTGTCTTGGAGTACGGCTATAGTCTGTAAAAAACAAAACAGAGAACAGTTATCAAAAGGTTGAATAATCACCAGATAACCTTATGTTTTAGAAAAACCAACTACCACCAGCAGGCAAAACCCTTAACTAGGAGGAGGGTGGGACGGGCGCTATTGCTAGGTGGTTATGCTCATCCCTAAGACAAAGAAAGTTTGCAGATCATAGATTCCTGCAAACTCTGATTTGTCCTCCGGGAGGCATAACCACCTAGCAAAGCTAGTGGGTAGAATAGCACACACCTGGTGGTGGTCCTAAGAAACTGAAGGCGTTCAACTTCTGATGGCCTCCAGTAAAATCTAACAAAGGTTTTACTGGACAACCATCTTGCAGCTTTTAAGATAGTAGCTAGAGGAAGGCCCTTTCCTGCTGCTTTAGTAGCCGAGGCTCCCCTAATTGAATGGCTTTTGAACACTGAAACATCAATTCCAGCCGTAGACATGGCGGAAAGTATCCAGCCTCTAATTGTATTAACCTTGGCTGGACGAAAGGGATTCCTTGATGTAATGAATAATTGACTGATATCGTTTCTAAATCCAGCAGAAAGTTGAAGGTACGATTGTAACAAACTGACTAAACATAAGCCTGGTTCGGAAGAATCTTGGACCAAGTCCAATTCTACCGGACCAGGAGAAAAATGGGATGTTTTTTGTCTGCCTTTTAGTATAATATGGAAACCTCCCGGGGTCCTGGACAACCAAGGTTCTGAAATATGGATCTGAGTTAACTCTGCTCCTCTAGCTGCCAGGGCCAAGGACAGCAGAGAAGCCAGCTTAATAGCAGTCCATCTTAAATCAATTTTAGCATTATCCAAAGACTTTAGGAAATTTAATAAGACATCTACATCCCAAGTAGATGTGTAGCGTGGGGTATATGGGCGGCAGACGGCTAACCCTTTTAGTAATCTCAAATACAGGGCATCCTGAGTAAGGTTGGGGATCAGGAAGTTTAAGGCAGATCCGTAGGTCTTGATTGAACTGACAGATAAACCAGAATGGAACTTAAGGGTAAGAAATTCTAACGCCAAAGGAATGGTATCAGATCCTTGTGTGTTAGACAGAAAAGAAACCTCCCATTCTTTGAATTCCTCGATCATCTTTCTATATCTTACCCTAGTTCTACGTCTTAAAGATGAGTTAATAATATCCAAGACCTGGTCCGATAAATGGGGATGTGTTAACAGCCTACCAGGGCTGCGATCCACATCAGCTGCGGGAGCTTGAGCAGAAGATCGCTGGTTCCCTGAAAGCAGTCCACTGTCATGCCTAATGGGATCTTGGTTCCCTTGACTAACTGATGGATCAAGGGATACCAGGGTCTGGAGGTCCATACTGGGTAAACGAGAACTAAGCTCTGCACCCTGTCCCTGCGGATCTTCTCCAGCACTTTCATCAGTAAAGATGGAGGGGGGAAAGCATAAGGGGCTGGAACATCCGTCCATTGGAAAGACATTGCATCCATTTTCCAAGCTCCCTTTGTCCAGGTCCGGGAGACGAACCTGGGAGTTTGAGCGGATGTTTGGGATGCAAACAGATCTAGCTGTCTCTGGCCAAAATTGCTTTCTATCTTTTGGAAAAGAGCAATCTTTAATTGGATCGTTGCCAGGGACAAACTTTGGCGAGAGAGAGAGTCTGCAAGCTCGTTCGCCTCTCCCGGAACATATTCTGCGAAAACCTGAACATTGCTTGCTAAGGCCCAGGACCAAAGATCTAGAGCCTCTAAGCAAAGACCCCTTGATCTTGTACCCCCTCTGTGGTTTATATAAGCCACCGCTGTCCTGTTGTCCGAATGGACTTTTACCAATGTCGGTGACTCGTTTAGAGGAACTAGGCCCTTGAGAGCTAATTTTATAGCTCGTAACTCCAAGATGTTTATATGGAGGTGACTCTCTTGGTCTGACCAGATTCCTCTTATGGCGTTTTGGGTTGTAAACGCACCCCAACCGTGACTTGAGGCATCTGACGTCAGAGTGACTGTCGCAGGCTGCTCTAACAGTGGACGAGGAAATGGAATTTCTAACTCCAGAATGGACTTCAATTCTTCTCTGACCTTCTTGGGGAGAACAAATTTTGATTCCCAATGGCCACCCTGTCTCAGTCGGTTCCCTAAAAACAGCTGACTTCTTCTGCAAAGTAAGGGGGAATTGTTGTATGCTGGTGTTAAAGCTATTAATTTCCCTATGATCTTTGCTAGGTCTCTCAAGGACCAACTCTGGTGCTTGAGAGATGAGTTCAGATGTACCAATAATTTGTCCCATTTGTCTTGAGGGATTCCAAGGGACATAGTCCTGGTGTTCAGTATGAAACCCAGAAAGAGGATGCTTTGAGTGGGAATTAGGACTGATTTCTGTAGATTTACTACGAATCCTAGATCTTGTAAAAGGGAAGCAAGGTAATCCCTTTGAGAAGCAAGGGCTTCCCCATCTGGGTGCATGAGCAGGATGTCGTCTAGGTAGTATAGACACATGAAACCTTTTAGTCTGACATGAGCTATCACTGATTTCATAATTCTGGAGAATGTGTATGGTGCGTTGGAGAGGCCAAACACCATAACAGTCCACTGCCACACCTTTCCTTTCCACTGAAACCTGAGAAAACGCCTGTGTTTCTTGGCTATGGGGACTGAATGGAAGGCATCTTTTAGGTCTACTTTTATGCAGAAAAAGGCTTTCTGAACTAAGCCTGGAAGATCTGATAGACTCTCCATCCTGAACCTTTTCCTTTTGATGAAAGCGTTCAGAGGCCTCACATTTAGGACCGGTCTCCAGGAACCGTCTGACTTTGGGATTGGGAACAATGGGCTGACCCATCCTGTAATAGACATGTCTGCCAACTCTATTTTTCCTTGACTTAAAGCTAAGGAAAGGGAGGCATCTAGCACTGGGTTCACCTCTCTGTGGGGTGCAAATTTCTGGACTGGGAACCTTAACAGGGGGAGTTGTAAACCCCTTTGAAAGATCTTTAGAACCCATTTGTCTGAGGAAATATCCTTCCAATTTAGTGGCATATGAGGAGGCACACTTACTTGAATGCATGGGTTTCCTTTTGGAAGCTGAACCGCCTCTGGAATGCGCTCCTCTGCCGCCGCCTGGGAGCTTATGTCTTCCACTGTAGTGGCGGTACTGGGCCTGGTGAGAGGCTTCTCGGGACGCTCCTGCAGCCCTATAGGGGCGACCCTCCGTCCGAAAGGGCTTCTTGTAGCCAGGGACGGACTTCTTGAGTTCTGAAAAGGATCTCCTTGCCTTGTAACGGCCTTTAACCTCCTGAATGAACGAGGGACCGAATAGGTAAGAATCCTCCAAATTTGGGAACTCATGCGATTTGGGGGCTAGGTCGGACAGACCAGCTGCATGGAGCCAGCGGGATCTGCGGATGTTTGAAATGTAATTAAAGGATTGGCCAATAATTAGCACTGCCCTGCCAGACGCTTTTAAAAGGGCCATCTTAGATGCTAACAGGGATGAAGTGGAAGGTTTCTGAGCATTGCCTTCTTTTTCTGCTTTATCCAGCATCAGTAATAGTGGTCCCACAGCATCAGCAATTTTAAACTGTATATTGCGAAAAGTCTGGTCTGTGGGATCAGAGGATACGCTGCTCCCTGTGATGGATAACAGCGAAGGGTCTACCTCTGGGGCCATTAGAGCCTGAATGTCCGGGATACCGATGTGGTTCCTGAGGAGAAGGTCATCTTCCTTAACCAAGGGGGATCTGAAGGCTAGTTTAGCAAAATCTCTAACCTCGGAATCGTGCTCCATAGCCCATCTGGAGTGAAATAATTTTGATGGGAGAGTCTTTCCTAGGAGACTTACTCTGGCCATCTGAACATTGCTTAGCTTCCCTCGCTCAGTGGAAGCTGCTGAACGAACCACTTCCTCGGATTCCCAGTCTATTTCTGGAGAGCCGTATCTGGAACTGGGACGGCTTTGGGAAGAAGAGTGAGCGAACGCTCTAGAAGAGGAAGGAGAGGGACTATCTAACCTCCAACGAGATTTGCCCTTTTCCTCTGGGAGGTGTTTCTGGTGCTCAAACGAGGGAAACACGCTATTCCTTTTTTGAGGTCCTGTCCCCTTAAATTTTCGCTT